TTCATGACCCCAGCGATAAAGAGTAACACGAATACGATGTAACGCGAAGGTGATAGAAATTAAGCTATATAAACAAAAATTGTCAATTACAAAAGTCTTACAAAATTAAACAAAAATATACTAGTATAGCAGTGTATTCCAATAAATGATGTCATGACAATACACTTGAAACAAAACAAATACAGATTAAAGTGAATTGTATTGACAAAATAAAAAAAGGGTAACAAGCGTCGTGTTCGAAGTGGGTCTCATGCAACGTATACAACGCGTAAAATACACAGATACATTCGAAATGAACCAGTCGAATTTAGAGCTCGAGTTTCTTCAGCGTAAAAAAAAATAAAAAATGCTAGAGAATGATTAATGTTGCATACCAACTTATATATATAATTGGTTGATCTTTATCAAAACACAAAATGAACACTACTTCTAATAATATAATTATGATGACGTAACAAACTAACGTTGATCAGTGCCTGTCACAATGTACATCGACTACTGAGAACAACGTGTTTTAAAAATAATATACTAGTAAGTTGCATTGTTCTTGCAGTTTCGTTTACCACCAAAATAACATTTAATTCGAAATATACTGTTTTCGAAAAAACGGCAAATTTTATTATGGTCATGCTTACTTTTATTTCCTTCTAATCGAACATCAGCACAGATTTTTGATCTTTCCAACTTCATGATCTACACAATAGCGCATAGGAACGATGATCAGTAGAAACCAATTCTTTGATCTGATCCATTGACTTTAAATTGTACTTCCCGGGGAAGAAAGGTCAATTAGTAGTTAGCCCATGGTCCATGGCGTTTTCAGAGTGGGCGTTATTTACATTCGCTTCTCTGTGACCCACTCAAACACCGCCATGGATCATGCTATAGCAAAACGTGGTGGATACACGGCGAATTAACGCCTACTATTTTCGACTAAACAAACGACGAACCAAACGCATACTTGTAACTATATGAATGACTAAAACTCTAAAAATCTCAGTTAAACATATAATTTAACACAATTTGATTATTGCCGATGTACGCATGCGTATTGCGTTTATGCCGAGTCTGTCTCACTCATCCAACCGATTTTCGCAAAAGCAGGATCCATCATGATGACGGCATTTGAGCAGAGAGGGCAGCCAACTATCGAATGAATAACGCTCACTCTTACAACAGGTCTATAGTATGAAACGTTTGATTACAGTCATCGTGATGGTTAATAAGACAAACAAATCATCGTTTATATGCGGCTAACATCTACCAGAACAACGAATAATGTTACAATGAAATCCGAAAAACAATATAAATTTAAAAAAAATACTGTTTAACAAATTTACATTATTTGAAACATGAATTGCATGCACGAGTGCACATTCCTAATTATTCCAAACAGTAAATATGTATTCCAAAAATCTAAATCTACGTTCTAAAAGTTCTATTATAAAAATGCACTATAATTTTCAAAAAAATAAATATTTTTATTAAAGAAATTAAAAATGCGTTGTTGTTCTAAAAACGTAAATTTATATTTCAAAAATACATATTTATGCTCCACAATGTTAGACTACCTAAAATATACATATATGCTCCAAAAGCGTAAAATTATTTTACAAATGCACAATTATTTATGAAATATAAATATTTCTATTCTAAAAATATTAATGGAGTATGAATTTACTTTTGAAATAAGAATGTACAATCTTGCAAACAAACATTGCAGGCACACATCCTGCGATAAAGGACACTAAATCAAAGCTACCTCTAATAATGCTGATCTTCAATTTATTGAGATTATCCGTTGATCCACAATCTTTTTTGTTTCTTAATTTGCAACGCTCATCTCAGAGGAAACGATGATAGTTAACTCGAATATGCCTCTGACGCAAATGGCCGTTGAAATCTCGTTGAGGGCGAGAGAGACGCGAGACTTGTTTTTGCCCCAAAATAGAGTCCCGTTCTTTTCTGTTATGGCGTCCCAAGTTCCGTAGCTTGGAATTCAGCCATTAAGAGCGCTCTTCCCAATAACTTACGAATGGGCTAGTGAATCGCTACATAAATACGTAAACGTCACGGAATTCAGTGTCATCACTGATTGGCTGTCTCTATGTCTTCAGTACATCACCGTGGGAACTCGCATGCGCAGAATGACCCGAAGGCCGGTCCACTAGGCTATTATTCTACCTGTTCTACCTATGCAACTATAATATTCAGAACAGTAGTCTAAGACGCGATAGCGGAATAGAACACTTTTTTGAGATGCACAAACAACTCGCTGTAAACGAGATCTCGGCGGCCATTTTCTCCGAAGGTCTATTCAAGTAACATTAATATTGCATGAATATATATGCTTTTTCTTGAATCCCTGAATATTCTGGAAAATTCTAAAGCCAGTACAATATTAATCGTACTTCCACCTGCATGTCCACATAAGCAAAACACGCAAATAAAAGTATATTAAGCTTATTTAAATCAGACAAACTTGTTTAAAGCTGACTTTGTTGTCCTTTTTACCACGAACTGCAATGAAAGCCTTGGACCCAGCGCCTGACAATAAGACCAACTCAATCGAACCGCTCCGTATTGTGATTTCTGCATTACATCGCACCTGAAAATTAACACATTTACATTGTTTGGAGTGGCATGTAGATGACATCCCGACACCCCTATTTACCGAAAAAATATTAGTAAATATAAAAACCCGAAAAATAGTTAAACCATAAAGATATTTTGACAACCATATTCAAGAATACTCAATGTCATTTTTAGTTCAGTTTGAAAAATAAATGTTTTCCCTTTTAATAAGAATTGGCTCACGATGAATCTCGTGGCAATTCTAGCTTCCTTCACAATATTGCTCACGTGTTCACAAAATATCAATCTCGTATGCTCAATGATGACGTCAAATTTGGTGTGCATATTCGTTCAGCTAAGGTAACACTTATTTTGTTGACATCTATGAAACGCGGTTGACACGAACGTGATGGTTTGTATGATTATGCTCATCTTGTTTAAAGCGGGAGAGTCATCACCTGCGCATGGTCAGATGAACATAGCGTGTCATTGTTTACAAACAAGCGTCTACCCATGAGTTTTTGCGTTTTTAGCGTGTGTTGTTATCGTCGCTTGGGACTCAATTCCCGCGCGTGCGCAGGTGACGATCCTCCCGCTTTAAAGTACGAGCGGGCTTAAGACCCACACGACGACAACAACGCACGCTGCAGACGCAGAGGCTATGGCCGTCTGTGTGCATGAGCAGGTGACGACTCACCTGCTTTAAAATGACATATGAGAATCGGATATCTGTGACACGAAGCTCCAAGGTGTGTTTTGGGTACTAATTCGACGAACGAACTTACTACAAATCTCACCTTCTTTTTCAATTTGCCGAGTGGTGCAGAGCAACTCTTCAAAAAGCCAATATCGTCGTCGAATGGGGACTTCGCTGTCGCTCCGCCGTCGCCGGATTCGGCACGTGGACTACCCTGCAACTGGGCGATTTTCGCTGTCGCATCGTTAAGATCTGACGGTGTTAACGCCAGACCACTTTCCTTCGTAAATACGAACCGTTTTATCTGAAAGCAATAATAGGAACTACAAGTAGTACATCACATTTCCATGACGTCACTGTAGCTTGCAACATAAGGGAGCCAATCACTTCCATTCGATGTGTTTATATAGTGTACTCGGCGATATTTGTAACAATTATTTATTTAAATTAGCTTACGTTGGTTTCTTTGAAGAAGTCATGCGAAGAATGATTGACTTTTGACCTCTTGGTGGTCGGTTCGGTTATGGTTGATGATGATTGGGAGCTCAGTGAACTGTACGAAGCCCTGAATAAGAAAGGAAAGTCGATATATGTATGTTTTAGTCGACGTGACGCACTGAGCCGAACTATCATTGTGGTACTACATCGTGAGTGAGTCACGGTGAGTGAGGGAGTGACCTGTAAGTAAGTGATTGATTGACTGATTTATTGATTGATTGAGTGAGTTTATTGTTTCGTGGTTCCGTAGTCCCTCTCCGCAATATACCCACTGACTGCGAAATAATATAAGTTAACCACTTCAGGCTACTTCTGACTACACACGAGGTAATATTCTACTCAATGGCCCGTTATGCACAGGGGTGAGATAACCTAGCGCCGTACCTAGGCGTCAGTGGAGACACATGACATTAGATTCTAGGTTAGCTTATTCCTTAAATTATATGTACCCAGAGTTCCCGTTTTACTTGTGGACACTTCCGCAATTACCCGGATGTGTGACCTTAACGGGGTCATATATAAGAAATTTATTCAAATACATTGAATACCTCATTCTATGTCCGCGTACTGGCGGACTGGTGCTACCCCATTCATCTTCGCTTTCACTCAGAGCAGCCGAGAACATGGATTTTTGCTCCGAGGCTGTAGTACCGCTAAACCATGGCTGTAATATAACATACATTCTGTGTAATGTTTGGTCGATACGTGATCACATGGAGTTAAATAATTAAATATAATTACCTTCCACGTCATTGTGTTAAAGATCTATGAAGAGATGTGTAAGAAAAAAATATAACGTACCTTTGCCACTGGCGACACTTCCATCGGCTCCTGTGATACGGCAGGGGTTACACCCGGCAATGGATCGGCATCGCCTGTAATGAGACAAAATACAAATCACGCCATGGTTACTAGATGCACCAAGTATGGATAATTCGTCTAGACATCTCCCTGCGCTATGTCCTATGCCTAGTGAGGGGGTAACTAAATACATGGGTACCATGTCTGACTTGGAGTAAACCCCCACGGGTCCTATGCAGGCTAGACACTTGACACATTCCAACTCCTGCTCTCCTGATTAGTTTTATTGCAGAATGTGACATGTTGTGCGAGTTGTACGTGCTAGATCGTCTTACCATCATCAGATTTATCTGTATCGGGGTTTTCGTCTTCCCTCGTAGTATGGAAGCTATCCAGAATTTCCTGGTAGTGCTCACGATCAATGTCCACGGAACAGAAGACTCCCTTTCCATCTGTACACTGCTGCATTTTGTCATTGTTCGCTGCAACACTGGCTATAACTCGAGCGAATTCACCACAGTCGACCTTTTCCTTCACACGCACAGCGCCCTCTTCTGTCAACACTTGGAGCTCTATCAGCACGCTGCCTGATTTTTGTCCTCTGTACAAGACGCCGGGAAAGTTTCGGAAGTAGTCTTTCAGTTCGGGGATAAGTCCGAGCCCACTGAAGTACCATTCTGCTTTCTGCAGCTGTCTGCATTCCGAGTCATAGAACTTTAATCTCAATGTCAGCATCCTTACTTTTGATGGAGCTGTGAAATTGCGAGAAAAAAAAGAAAAGAAAAAGTCTTATTTACATAAATAGTTATTGCATATTTGCCAATAAATAAGTACATACTAAAAATAATCGCGTCCTCAAACGAAGAAGCGTTTTTATGTTGCCGCCATAATGTCGAGGATGGTCAAAACAATATGGACGTTGTGAATGGCCCTCTTACATTTATTTACGCGACAGAAGTTAATTAGAGGGCGCAACTAATGGTCTATTATGAAAATTTTCTGACCTTTTTCAGATTCTATATCCGATGTCTGGTCCTCGTTCAAGTACATCGCGGTTCCATCTCCGATTTGTACATTTTCTGCATCGATATATGTCATCGTGTACGGTAGTTGTGCTAGTGCGCATGCGTACGGTGGTGGCTGGTTGCCGCTATCTGTTCCCATCAGTGACTGTGCTATGACTTGTTCATCTGATGTTAAATCCGATGCATACATGTCTGGAGTTTTCCCTGTGATGGTGAAACAGAATTTATGTGTGGTTAAACTTCTAGTTAATCAGTCGATGTGTGAAAATAAATACATCTGTCTATCGAAACATAATCAGTACACCCAAGTGAGTTACAGCAGCACAGTAGTTGAATTAATGTAAATTAAAGAGCGGTAGTCGTCGCGCCACGCATGCGCGAGATATATGAGTCTCATATAAACAAAGATGGCGACTTTGACTGTTGCGCAGATCATCGAGTACAAACTGAGACGTTTTCAAGCTTTAATTAGATATTTTCAGAAGATTGGAAGGTATCCAAGGAGTCACTGGTCAAACCTCATACTTGTGATTTCCATTTGAAGAGCGCATTGGATTATGGGAAAATCAATGTTTATCAAAACAAATGTCGCATATGCGCGCGCGACGACTACCGCCCTCTAATCACGTAATTCATACGTGATGTGTACGTCGCATGGAACTCCAATGGAATATGGTGCATATTGACAAATGTGACGCTTTAAACATGTCGTACACATACTTACTGTTCATCATTTGCATAAATCTTTTCCTGATCTGTTTCAGGTCGTCCAATAAGTTGAACTGGAGTCGTTCACGTCTTGTAATGGTGGCTCGATCCAACCCATCTTCTTTCTGAATAAACTCAAATACAGTGCTTATACGGGACTCAAGATCGGTAAACAATTTAAACGTTTCCCATAAGTCATTGTCACCATGGAAACGCTCCTTGGAAGCGGCATCGACAGCTCCGAGAGATTTTGAGCGTTGTAACTGCTTAGTTCTGGGAGAAATATTCTCCTTACCAACCCATTCACGTACAAATTTCGAATGAGACCGAGAAAGATGTGATGCGCACGAATCTGTAAACGAATATTGATAAAGTAATTTATATTATGTGTTTTATAATTCCAGTCAGCGCCCACTTATTAGCGATAATGCCTTAATTCCTAATTGCGTTAATAGTGATATTTTTATCCTATCGAATTTTCGGACTAATCTTCGACGTTGTCTGTATTATTTCTGTATGTTTTAGTGTATTTTTTATGGAATCTTTGGCCCGAAATAAAAGCTTAATATAAAAGTAATAAATCATAACATATATATTGGTTAAGCCGGTGTGAGTTTATCATTGTCCGATATTGCTGTTTGGTTATGAGTACCGTGAAAATCAAAATTAAACTTTTAAATATTATATATTTTTTTTTTACAAGAATCTTATTTTGATAGTATGATGATGTGAAGAATGTTATGATCAAAAGTCAATATGCTGGTATCACCTTGATTAGTATACCCACATGCACAATATCATGCCGTGCATGCAAACCCCCCGTATCTAAGACTTCCGGAAAATTGGTGTATGAGTCAACGGTCATTTTCTATCAGTTTGTCGCCAGAGGGCGCGATTATTGTTTCCAGTTGATACTTTACCTTTGGTAGTGCCTTGAGAGTAGGTAGAAGCACGGCTACGATTGCTTGGTGAGATAATGGAAATCTCCTTCGATGAGAAAAACAGAGAAAGCTTGGTAAGTTAATCGATCTTCTTTATCTTATGTTACGACTTGCTACTAGAAAGAAAGAAAGAGAGACAGAGAGACAGAAAGAGAGACAGAAAGAAAGACAGACAGACAGAAAGACAGACAGAAAGAAAGAAAGAAAGAAAGAAGAAAGAAAGAAAGAAAGAAAGAAAGAAAGAAAGAAAGAAAGAAAGAAATAAAGAAAGAAATAAAGAAAGAACGAAAAAAGAATTAACTAATTAACCAATCAATCAACCTGACCTGGCAAGACTAGACCGGCCAAACCAGCTACCCACAAACCATTCAACCAACTAATCGTGTTACAGAGTGAGTAATGCAATACTTCACGCTAAAGCCTTATATAAATACTTACGTGGCGCTGCCCAGTACTGATAGATGCAGGAGTCATCCCAAGAAATTCTCTTGTCGACGAGCTTATAATAAAGGTGTAAACATACATTATACATTTTTTTAAATACTAGTAAACATCCAGTGAACATAAACTGATGTATTCAACTTTTGGTTGATAATAATTTCGGAATAATCTGGTATCTCAACCTTTTCCTCTCAACTCACCATTTCGACAAGAATTCGTGGCATGCCAAGTTATTTAGAAATACGTCCAGATCCTGCTGACGCTTGTCTAGAAAAGCTGTAGAGAAATGCAAATGGCTGGTAATGTAAAGACATTTATCTAAAGACATTTATCTAAAGACATTCATCTAAAGTCATTCATCTAAAAACATTCATCTAAAGACATTTATCTAAAAACATTCATCTAAAGACATTTATCTAAAAACATTCATCTAAAGACATTCATCTAAAAACATTCATCTAAAGACATTTATCTAAAAACATTCATTTAAAGACATTCATCTAAAAACATTCATCTAAAGACATTTATCTAAAAACATTCATCTAAAGACATTCATCTAAAAACATTCATCTAAAGACATTTATCTAAAAACATTCATTTAAAGATATTCATCTAAAAACATTCATCTAAAGACATTTATCTAAAAACATTTATCTAAAGGCATTTATCTAAAGACATTTATCTAAAGACATTCTTCTAAAAACATTCATCTAAAGACATTTATCTAAAAACATTTATCTAAAAACATTCATCTAAAGACATTTATCTAAAGACATTCATCTAAAAACATTCATCTAAAGACATTTATCTAAAGACATTTATCTAAAAACATTCATCTAAAGACATTCATCTAAAAACATTCATCTAAAAACATTCATCTAAAGACATTTATCTAAAAACATTTATCTAAAGACATTTATCTAAAAACATTCATCTAAAGACATTTATCTAAAAACATGATTCATCTAAAGACATTTATCTAAAAACATTTATCTAAAGACATTTATCTAAAAACATTCATCTAAAGACATTTATCTAAAAACATGATTCATCTAAAGACATTTATCTAAAAACATGATTCATCTAAAGACATTTATCTAAAAACATTCATCTAAAGACATTTATCTAAAGACATCGATTTAGTGGCAATCGAATGAAATTAAAGAACGGTTTTAATAATGATTTATAAATTGGCTGAACAGTTTAATCCCGCACGCTTGTACGGCGGCAATAGTTCAGCTTTCCACCAGTCGACAGCGTACTGTACTCACCCCATTGACCCTTTGTATTATCGATTCGTACTATACCGCCCTCTGTCGGTTATCAATGCTCACCTTTCCTGAAGATACCGACAGTCTTCTTCGGTGGTAATTTCAAGTTTTCTAATGCTGATAGGATCTCTGCCTTGAGCTGCCGAATATACATAATATATCATGTCCAAAAAAAAATAACAACAGCATATTTTTAAAATGCCTCTGTATAATATTTTATCTCAGGTGACAATAATTTGATTGACCACAAGCATATTTCAATAGCTCTAAAAATATTGCAGAAAAAACACCAAATACAAAAACATCACTGCGCTCGCTGTAGGACGATTCTGCCAGTTCATATGGCACTATCTACCAAATATGGCAACACCCACCAAATAAGGCGCTACTAACCAAATATGGCACTCCCCACCAAATATGGCACCACCTACAAAATAAGGCACTACTCACCAAATATGGCACTACCTACCAAATATGGCACTGCTACCCAAATTTGGCACTACCCACCAAAACTGGCGCTACTAACCAAAAATGGCACTTACTACCAATTATGGCACTGCTATCCAAATATGGCACTACCAGCCAAATATGGCACTATCCGCCAAATATGGCACTAGTTACCAAAAATGGCACTTACTACCAATTATGGCACTGCTATCCAAATATGGCACTACCAGCCAAATATGGCACTATCCACCAAATATGGCACTAGTTACCAAATATAGCACTACCCACAAAATATGGCACTATCTTCCAGGTATGGCACTACCTACCGAATTTGGCACTACCTATCGAATTTGGCACTATCTACCAAATATGGCACTACCCACCAAATATGGCACTATTAACCAAATATGGCAATACCCAACAAATATGGTGCTACTGGCCAAATATGACACTACCCACCAAATAGGGCACCACCTACAAATTATTGCACTACTCACCAAGTATGGCACTACTAACCAAATATGGCACTACCTACCAAAAATGGCACTACTAACCAAATATGGCACTACTAACCAAATATGGCACTATTTACAAAATATGGCACTACCCACCATATATAGCACAATCCACCAAATATGGATGGCACTACGTACCAAATATGGCACTACCTACCAAATATGGCACTACCTACCAAATATGGCACTATTTACAAAATATGGCACTACCCACCATATATAGCACAATCCACCAAATATGGCACTACTTAT